AACAATCTGGCTATGAGGATGTGTGTGGGTGCGCATTCGTGTAGTGAGTGTGAGAGAGAGAGTGAGTGGGAGTGAGAGGATGTGTGTGTGTATGTGTGTGTGTCTGTGTTGGAGACGGAGTGTGTGTGTGTGTGTGTGTGTGTGTGTGTGTGTGTGTGTGTGTGTGTGTGTGAGAGAGAGAGGTATGTGTTTTTGTGAGCAGATTATTTAATATCTTTGTGTGTGGGTGTGTGTTTGAAATTGCAGGGGTCCATGATGCTTCCACACTGGAACCCTGATGCTACAGAGATGGGCATGGTGACAGCTGGTCATGGGTTAGTGGAGATGACTTTCCCTAATGGGACACTGGCCATGAAGGAGCATCTTAAGGCTGGTGACGTCTTCTTGATCCCTCAATTCCATGCCATCATGCAGGTGGCTGCACAGAATGAGCCTTTTCAGTTCATCACATTCACCACCACATCTCATCTGATCCATCACTATTTCTTGGTGGGGCAGTCTTCTGTTTTGCACGAGATTGCGCCAGAGCTCTTAGCCTCCGCATTCGGGATCTCCAAAGGCATTGCGGAGAAGGTCAAGGATGCACAGCAGGGTTCTGCGATCATCGGACCTTTGTAAGTTTGACAAAGTTTGACAATGTGTGAACTTCCATCATCGGACTTCGCAAAATAATGTGTAAACTTCCATCATCGGACTTCGCAAAATAGAAGCAAACAGTTCACTTAGGAAAGAAGTTTCAAACAAAAAGAGGAAGTATGGCGAGTTACGTCTTGTCTCCTGCATGCATGTCGATGCAATGGGCTAATCGAACAAAAGAGATCGCAGTACGACTTCTACGAAAAACTTACACAAGTGCAAACACCATTGATATTACCCTGCGGGTCCTGGTGAGTCTGTGTTATGGACTTCACAGATCTAGGCAAGACTACTCCACGGGGCATGAGACAGGTAATGGTTTGTGTGGATCGTCTCTCTAAAGTCTCTCTAAGTTTGCTGAGTTAGTTTATTCCCTTTTGTTGAGGGGAGAGTACGTCTGATGAGAGAGCTCTTCTGTGAGATCCGGTAGGTGTGATGGGGTTGAGTCTGGGGCTGGTGGGTGGCGCATCAGACATTTGTATTGCCCCGCGAGGGGATGTATAGATGTATGCAGGGTTTTGCAGGGTTGTCTGATGGTTATAAGGGTGCTATTGTTAGAGTATGAGGGGAAAAAGATTTAGAAGGGGAGATGGTGTGTGTGTGTGAGACCGCTGTGGGTAAAATTAGGGAGTTTGATTATCAGCTTTGTGTGTGTGTGTGTGTGTGTGTGTGTGTGTGTGTGTGTGTGTGTGTGTGTGTGTGTGTGTGGTGGGGGGGGCGGCTGGGGCACCACACAATCATATTGCCCTGTGAGGGGATGCATAGATGGGCAGTATGCAGGGTTTTGCAGGGTTGTTTGCAGGGTTATATGGGTGCTATTGTATGAGTATGGGGGGAAAGAAATTAGAGGGGGAGATTGTGTGCGTGTGTGGGTAAAATAAGGGAGTTTGGTTATCAGCTTAGTTATGTGTGTGTGTGTGTGTGTGTGTGTGTGTGGGATATTGCAGGGGTCCATGATGCTTCCACACCGGAACCCGGATGCTACAGAGATGGGCACTGTAACAGCTGGGCATGGGTCAATGGAGATGATTTTCCGTAATGGGACACTGGCCATGGAGCCATGTTGAGGCTGGGGATTTTTTTTTTTGGGTCTGTTGATCTATGCCATCATACAGGTGGCTGCAAAGAAGGAGCCTTGTCAGTTTGTGTTCGTCACGCTCACCACCACATCTCATCCGATCCATCCCTATTTCTTGGCGGGGCAGTCTTCTGTTCTGGACGAGATCGCGACAGGCCGACAGACCCCTTAGCCTCCGCATTTGGTATCTCTCAAGGCATTGCGAAAAAGGCGACGGATGCACAGCTGGGTTCTGCGATCATTGGACGTTTGTTGAAGTTTGACTATGTGCAATGAATTTTGACTATGTGCGACTGCACAGAAGGCATTGGACGTTCGGCAAATAGAAAGGAACAGAGTTACCTAGGAAAGAAGTTTCAAAAAGAGGAGACTTATGTCGAGGCACTTCTCCTTCATGCATGTTCGATGTCGTAGGCTGTCGAGGCACAGAATGATGCATCTCTGGTACTCTTTTGACCTGCAGGTAAAAGGCGGGGGGATACCTGTCCAGACTGCTGAAAAAAAACTGAGAGTTTCCGTGTGCGGCAGAGGGTGGAGCGAGTCCGAGGGGGACTACTTTGGGTCAGCCCTTATCAACAGCAGTGGGAGTGTGTGCGCTATACTTGGATGTAGCTTAGTGCAATAATGGTGATGAAACTGGTCCTCAAACGTGCAATAATGGTGGTTTATCTGGTCCTACAATGTGCAATGGTGATGAATCTGGTCCGAAAAAATGCCCTTGTAATTACTAGTTATTAGATTGTGTGGTTAACGGACAGGCAAACAGCGGCATGACTTGCATATAGCCAACTGCAGTGGTGATAGCATGGCATTTGTGGCATTACTAGTGTGCATTTGACTGCAGTGCTGACCAAGTTCATTTGAAATAGTCTAGAGTGAGAGGGTATCTGGTTAGGAGACTGGGGAAAGATCGCACGGCATTACTTTCATCAAGTGTCATGTAACTGATTGCAATTCCGGTCAAATTCATTCCAAATAAATAGTTCCTAGTGTGAGTTTGTTCAGTTAGCAGATATAGAAAACGCTCAGCCTCTCAGGTGGTGCGACTCCTGGAAGATATTCTGCAGCCGACATCGTTACCGAAGATAGGAGGACACCTTCAGGACTAATGTCTTCACCCGAATAGAACGCCCGGTGATTATCACCGTATCGGGGCTGAAAGTTGTGCCCTGTACAGCTATAACGACCGGGCATTCTATTCGGGTGAAGACGGTAGTCATTTGCAATGCTGAGGGCATGGGAAGGCCTTCGGTTCGAGCCTTAGCGAGACCAGGGACAGCTGTGGATCAGGCCTCTTTGTCGTGCTTAGTCCATCATGATGAATATAGCCTTGCACCAAGGCCATATCCACAGATATATTTTTCCCACGTCCAAGACTTGCAATTTCCGGTCTAGAGTCTTTAGACCTGGGCAAGAGGAGACAATGAGTCCTATGACTTTATGTAAATTGCAGTCAATAATGTAAATTGCAATTTGCAACACAGTTTGGTTTAGGGTTGCTGAAGATCGAGGTACAGGTTTGGACCACTCCTTTGCAATGTGTCGAGGGTGGGTGTAGTAGCTATGGTTGAGGCCTGGGTGAGAGAGACAGGTTAAGTGTAGCTATGGTAAAGGCCTGGGTAAAGGCCTGGGTAAAGGCCTGGGTAAGAGAGGGGAAGCGTAGCTATGGTAAAGGCCTGGGTGAGAGTGGATGCGAGTCTTGTAAATTGCGAGGTCTTTTTTGCAACACGACGAAAGTAGCGGAGGGTTGTAAATGAATTGTAGAGTAGGAATGCCTTTCTCAGCCTTTGGGCTACGTAGTAACATCAGGTGCTGGATTTGTTCTTCTTTTTAGTAACACACATCAGGTGCCGGATTTGCTTTTTTTCTTCTTTTTTCGTTTTTTTTTAAATAAGTCCAGGCTGTTGTATCGGACAGGGAAAGAAAGGAATAGGATTCACGTGCGTCTTCAGGGCAAGAGTTTTTTTATTTTCTTAAACGAGTCGAGGTTGTGGTAGAGGCTGGCTACTAGTCATATGACAGGGGGGAATACATCAGGAGGATCAAAGGGCAAGAGATTCAAGAGAAGGCTGGTCGTATCAGGAAGTGGGAACGACTGAGGGGGTACACACGGACAGTGGTGCGTAAGAGGTGGATGGGGTGCCAAACTGGCAGGTTTGTCATGAGGGGATCCCTGGGGGGTCAGGTTGAAACAGGGGTCTGAAAGGGAGGAAATTGTTTGTTGTTTTTTCAGTCTTTTCGCTCTGTAGGAAGTAGTTGATACCGTGATGACGAAGAAGCATCAGACAGTCCGTGAATGACGGAAGGGCACTACAGTCTTCTCCCGAATACAACGTACGGTCATTATAGCTGAATTAAGACGGAAAGATACGACCAAATTCAGCTATAATGACCATACGGTGTATTCGTGGGAAGACTGTAGCAAAAAGAAAAGGAGGGGTAAGGCTGTAATTGGCTTGGTTGAGAAAATGAAGTACACGGTATTGCAAATAAAACTCGTGTTTGCAGCGCAGTCGCAGCCTGAGTTTTGAAAACAATATGAACTCAGGCAGCCATATTAGACACACTGCCAAGGTTTTATGAACAATGTAGTCACTAGAAAGGGACTGCCATGTCTACCTGCACCTTCCTGGGGACCACTGGTTCAAACCCCCATGATCGCACGCTCAAATGCATAGAGAGAGAGAGAGAGAGAGAGAGAGAGGAACACTGGTTCAAACCCCCACGATGTGACTGGGAGGAGCAGAAAAAATGCGGGAAGGCTGCACAGAGGGTGTGTTGTGTGTGCAAGTGAGCTGCTATTGGTGTGGCTTGGTCTCTCTGTTTCTCTCTCTTGTTCGCTTTTTGCCACGGATGGTTCAGTAGTGTTTGATTGTTTTTTGCCAGTGGACGGTTGCTTGATGCACGCCCGAAACCAGATCTAATCGTATCCACACAATTTCATGCATGGCAACCCCACTTGATGCACGCCGAAAAGCAGATACTGCACAATCCCCTGACCGCTTCCACATTCAGTCGTTTTTGCAGCCCTTGCTTTGCTGCCAAGCCAGAAGCAGATCAATAGCAGTTCCTGAACCTGCCTACTGGTTCCATCCAGTTCCTGAACCTGCCTACTAATTCCATCCACATTCAGCCGTTTTTTGCAGCCCTTGCATTGTCGCATTGGGTTGGCACGTGGAAGAGAGAGAGAAAGAGAGATCGCAGCTTTCTCCACCTACCAGCTAATTGTGTTCGCAGTCAGCCGTTCGTTCAGACCTTCCGCTGTGGCTCGCTGGCTTGGCAAAGGGGAGAGAGAGAGAGAGAGAGAGAGAGATGCTCTGCTATTCGGGACGATGGAACCGTTGCTATGCCAATTTCCGTGAAATTACAAGAACCTCGCATTCAGCCGTTCGTTCAGACCTTCCGCTGTGGCTCGCTGGCTTTGCAGCCCTATGCTTTCAAGTGTGTCGTGAAGTTTTGACTTTGTCATTTTGTGGCTCGTGACCGACCTCGCTGAAGGCCGTTAGGGCACACTCGCACTAGGACTGTTTCCACTTCTCTATGGACATAATTGCGGTCAGGTGAATCCAGGCGTGGTGGGAAAAGAGGTCATATACATCCAGCAAGAATGACACGCATGTGTAAGATGGAGCAAAGAAACCAAAAATTTCAACGCTTCTCATGGGGGGGGGGGGGGGGAAATGTGCCTTCCATCTTGGGACATCTGGTAAAATTGGAAAATTATAGAGAACATTTGCATGGCCCCTGCACACGGATGACACGCACAAATCCAGGCTTGGTTGAGGGGGAAAAAAAGAAAAAAACGTTGGATTAACATTCCTAAGGCATGGTAGCAACAGGACTTCACTGGATGTAGCGAGAGAGCAAAGCAGATCAATCCAGATATTTTGCACGTCTCCACACTTTCGCTCCGATTCGGGCTTCGTATCCGATTCTCTCTGCTGGCGAGACCTCACCCCACATACACCCTGCATCTTACAAGGCGACCTCTCCACATTGTATGACCCTCCCTGCATGCTGCCATTTCCACATGACATCGCTCATAGTACACTCAAAGAAAAGCATAACTGTGCCAGACTGTGTTTGTGTGTGTGGGTGTGTTTGTGTGGGTGTGGGTGTGTTTGTGTGTGGGTGGGTGTGTGTGTTTGTGTGTGTGGGTGTGCGTGTGGGTATGTGTGTGTGTATGTGTGTGTGGGTATGTGTGTCCCGCGTAATATGACATGTTTGCGGTAATATGATATGGAAACGGCATCATAATCAAGCTCCGAAATAATATATCAGCGGATCTTAAGAATGAAAACTTGTTGGCGTGGTGCAGATGCATCCGGTACTCGGAGATGGGGAACGACTATGCCGGACTACATGAGCATGCTCAGGAACAAGTAATTGTAGGCGTGGTGCAGACGGAACCTATACTGTAAGGTGGGGAATGACTATGCCGGACTACATGAGCGTCTATGCTCCCACTGCTCTTTGCGGGCGATCTGGAACTGGAACACACACGATCAAACAAACACCACAAGACGGGCAAAGGAAGCACAATAAGGCAAAAGGCAAGGAGGCAACGATAACAAACTGCAGAAAGGCACAAGGACGGGGGGCGCGGGGGATGTGGGAGGGCAGACCATACATAAATGCACAAAACAAGGAAAGACGAGAGAAAAAGTGCGAGTACAGAAAGATACCCCAAGCATAAGACGTCAGGCAGCAACAAAAAACAATGGGTGGAGGGCACGGGGGAGGTGGGAGGGCAGACATCACTCAAACACAAAGCAGGCAAAACAAAAAATATACAAGTCCCCGAGAACAGCGAAGACCAAACAAAATAAAAAACCGCTGATGACAAGTTGTTTCATTGGATCGGAGTTGCACCAACTCATCAGGAGGCTGAACCATCGACGACCTGTGGAATCTCCATATTTGATGGTTTGGGTCATGAACCCTTTTACCCTTGTTGAAGGCAGACTATCCCCAAGCGGAACATAGCAGCGGGCAGGAACCTTGTGGAGCACCAGGTAACACAGTAGAGGCAACACGGCTGCACAACGCCAACAGGACAAGCAGCGCGCCAACCGTGTAGTTAAGCAGAAGACAACACAAACAAGGAAACCACAATGCAAGGGGCGACAGGGTGAGCGGACCAGCAGCTCGGCAACCCTGGAGCGAAGCACAAGGCATCAGCAACAAGGTGACCATCCAACGAGGCCTCAAGCAGCAAACAAGGAAGGCACGGCCAGCAGAAGGGCAGCAAGGCAGCGGAGCAGCGAAGCGCAAGGCAACACCAACCACATGGCCACACCTCACAACGAACACATCAACCTGCAAAGAACCACATGCCAAGCAAGCGGGGCAGGCAGCAGGGCAGTGGCGGAGCGCAGACGAGGCCATCCACACATCCAACACGGAGCAAAGCAGCACATGACCTACTCACATCACAATTGAACCCCGCACACAGACTGTTGGTTCCCACCACGCACTGAGCCAGGGCGACACTCCGACGAGCATCCGTCATCACCTACAGGCAACACAAACATCCCGAACCGGAGCGCCCCCCCTAAGAGTGCAGTTGGCAGTCCAAACGAGGAACCACCTACTGTTTGGTAGTACTTAAGGGTGCTCAGTTGGGTACACAAAAAAAAATACTCGGAAAAAATTAGAGGGAGGACAGACGAGCGGAAAAAGACTGACAGACATAAAACTGGGGTGCTTTCAGAATTAAAAAAAATAAAAATAAAATAAAAAAAAATAAAATAAATAAAAATAAAAATTGTGTGTGTGTGTGTGTGTGTGTGTGTGTGTGAGAGAGAGAGAGAGAATAGGACATTGAAAAGGCACAGCCCTCTCTCGGGGCACTCCCGTTGCACGCGAGCGACTTGCTCTTGTAATGCCCAGGGGCTGGCCTCACATGGCACTGGTGGGACAGGATCTGAAAGCAACTGGGCACTGGGCACTGGGTCCGCCTGGTCATAGAGTTGGAGAGCGCTCCTGTGCAGAGCATGGACCTCCCCCACGAACAACACCTTTGAAGATATGTTCAAGACTGGGAGGGGAGCTGTCGTCCGGGCCCTCGTGCGAAGACGATCCACACACTCGATTGAAGGCGTCTGCATAGAGGGAGAGGAAGTTACAAAAATGGTAAGATAATACATTCAGCAAGAACTCATGGCATGGTGGCAGAAAGTGAAAACTCAGCTCGATCGTTTCCACACGGACAAAGGCCTGACACACTAGGTAGATTTCCATGACCGCCTGGTCTGAACCGAGTTTGTTTCATACGCCCCTCTGTGTAGGCCGGCCAGTCACCCGGGTGTGACACCCGGTATAACCGGGCATGGGAGAAAAAAAAAAAAAAAAAAAAACACTGGTGCTGATGCTTTTATGCGCTCTCTGAGAGGAGCCAAAATCCGGGCTCTTTTCTTTTTTTGAGTGTGGGCTGTCAAGGGGGGGGAAGGGAAGTATAAATGAATTTTGAAGGGGCTAAAGGAGTTTAAAGGGGGGTGCCTTTATTTTCTTTTTTATCTTCAGTTCCGTTAGGAATTCGGATGTGACCCTTAGCCAAAAGTTGTTTGTATTGCAATTCTACACAACATTTGTTTTTTCAGATTTTATAATTATTATTATTATTATTATTATTATTTATTTATTTTTTGCGCTAGGGCTGGCCAAGCCCATGCCCGGGGATCATGCCCGGCCAGTCGCTCGGTCGCCAAACCGGCCGTGACGTGGGGACCCGGACGCCCGAGATATCTCCCTAGCTAACACGTGCAATTAA